AATTATTAATAAAAAAGGGGGTTGTTTTGAATAAAACTAAACGACATGGTAATTAGAATTTCTAATGAACTTATTTATAAACAGTTTGATGTTTACATGTTTTCAAAGCGCAGGTTAAATCCCTTACAAATATTGTGCATGAGTTGTGCAATATGCTTTTCTTTCTTTCATTTTTTTACAAATATTTAACAAGTGTTATATATAATATTCATTCTCATTAATATTTTTATAATATTCTGTTTCGCTTTGGCAATTCTTCGATAGGCCAACTACTCGGGCAAAAGGTTATGTTGACGCAGGACCTAGGACTAGGCCAAGTGACCAGTTAACGGCCTAGCAGCATATTTATGTACTATTAGTTGGTTACTAAAATTTAAATGGAAAAATGGTTAACTAGGAATAAGATTGATTTTTAGGTAGTCCCTAAGAACAAGCTGAACTTAAACTGTTAAGAAAATTTACTTGGTAGTCATAGTAAGTATTATAAACTGTGTCAATGGCCAAGTATTGGTAGATGCTTTAATCCAGCCTAAGTACTGGTACATTTATCTTAACTTCAGGACTCCAAAGAAAAAAAAAAAAAAAATAACAATTTAGTCAAAAACTAAACCTTTTTGTACTATTGAAAGTTTTGAAAAAAGTAAAAAAAGTATCATAGTCGAAATTCTTTTTTTAGGTTAGGGGCAAAACAATTGTACTTGGAAATTAAATTTTGCCTTGAAGAAATGAGTTTTGATCTCCTAAAACGTCGGGAGAAAATTTGATTCTGAATCCGATTATAGTTATGATTAAAAATTTTAAATACGTATTTAAAATAAAAATAAAATATGCAAATCAACGTACAATGTTCTTTCAGATTTAATTTTAGATGGTTCAACTTTAGGTTTTTGATAATCTTGCTCTTGGTCATTGTGTTGTAGCGGCTGTGTCTGTGACTGATACTGCACTTGAAATTTTTTTTCATTTTTCATTCTATGATTATCTGTTTTTGCCTGCAACCGTTTGCTGCGAGTAGCTGGAGCTTCCATAGGCGGTAAAATTATGACTCGACCACCACGAATGATTTGAATTGAATCTTTTTTAGCTATTGGCTCACTTTTTACAGATGTTGAAGAGATAGCAATCGGTGTGAATGTACCCAAAGGTGTTGATTGGGTAGGTGACTGCGACAAAATTTTTGATACTTCTATTTTCGAAACAGCTTCTTTTATTGATGACGTCAATAAAGATTCAGATATTTCTGGTGCGGAATCTATCAAGGTACTCTACATTCAAAGATTATTTTTAATTTAAATACATTCTGTTTTTTTAAGACAGTACTTACAACTAACACTGTGACCTGCACCACGTAAAGTTAAAGCAAGTATACTGGACAATACAAAGTCGAAACTTTAAGGTTTAACCGTAACTAATTTAAAGTAAATTTAGTACTTACCAACAATTATTTCGAAAAATTATTACAGAAACTGTTTAATAAAGACTGTTTAGTACTTCTGACGTACTAAAAATTTCAAAATATGTATCGCACTACTGTACATCAAATCGTCTACCATCTAAGCGCTATTATTTTTTATCTTTGAAACTCCATAGTTTGAGATATTCAACGCTGAAACACGCTGCAATCAGATCCTACACTAAGTTTTCATGTTAGAAAAGTTCACATAACCTTAACGAGACAAAAATCTCATAAAATTTTCATCTACTGTTAAAACCTTACTGCCTCAATATTAGTATATATTTGTGTCCCGCTAGAAGTCCCTATCACAATTCATTTAAAAACTATAATGTTAATTGTTTAAATAATCAAGATACATTTTTTTAATTTTAATTTTTAAATTTTGAGCTTCAAATTATTAAAGAATCAATTTATTATATATGTAGACCAAAAGATTAAAAAAAAGGTTAACAAAAGCTGTCTCAGAATATCTACCTTCACCTTAGTCGTTGTATGTTGTATGAAAGTAAACGGAGAAAAATTCTGAACTTTTACAGCCTTAATAAGTACTAGACTCTGACAGCTCCAGTGTATTGGACTGTTAGCTTTCAAAAAACTGAACTTTGAGAGTACACAACAGCTTGAACTGTTGAGTTACAAACATTGCTTACTATAGAGTTCAATATTTGTATTCATACGGTACGGCACTGCGGCGAGCTGTGAGAGGCCAAGAAGTGTGGCACTACAGCTCGATTGCTTGAATTATTAGACATCGATCGCAAAAGCTCAGCTTACTACAACTTGCATTACCTTTTACGAATAAAGCACAAATACAATATGCCAGAAACCGTCATAGTTTGTAATGTTGACGATAAAAAAGTACATTTCTGCACGATAAGAAAAGTTTACGAAATAAATAAAGATGCGCATTATTTTGTACATGCAATGATATAAGATTTCAATACCACTTTCTAGTATTTGAGGTTCTAATTTATAGAAAATCAAAAGCAATGTACGATGCAAAAATGTTACCTAAATTCTATTCATGTCTAGAAGTCTAAATCCACAAAAATTATTATGATACGTTAAGATATAATATTTAAGTTTATGTTCGATTATGCTTTTGCTAGTGGAAAAAAGATTATATATTGTTAACGTTCACAAAACTTAACAATGAAACTGTGCACAAAATGGTAATTAGAGCATGACTTGATTAATAATTCGTGTACAGTTTTATTGTTGATTATACGACCATGGAGCAAGTGTGTGGATGATTTACCTTTACATTAGTTCTCACAATTTGTTAAGTGTGCATTTTTTTAGAACTCTTATCGAACTATTTTATTAACAGCATACTGTTGGCAATTTTTTATACATACATACACACACGCGCGCGCGCGGGCATGTGATAGTGCGCGTGCGTGAGTGTGAGCGTATATTTGTATACGTATACGTTACAAGCGCTCAGGGTGTGCTTAAGCGATAGCAGTCTGACAGTACAAATGATCAAGCTGTGGCGCCGACTGTACAAAATACCTAACCGATATGTACACAATTCCTAATTATTTTAAACAGACGTTTACAACTTGTATTTGATGGCTGTTGCCGTAAAAAAGTGATGCAGATACGACGAAAATATATTTATTTAATCAAAAAGTTTACATTTAACGTAAAAATTTATTTACTTTTCTTAGAAATTTGAGAATGAAAAGACGCTTAATTATCTGCGTCAGTTCTTCACTGTAAAGATTTACTGATAATCGATGAAATGTTTTTTTGCTCTACCTCAATTTTTGTGGAAACAATATCTATGTAAAAAGCACGTGTGATAAGCGTGATTTTCAAATTTATTACTGGCTTCTTGAAGAAGATCAATGGTTTTATGAAAGGAAGGGGTCAAAAGAGTTACCATAAGACTGTATAATAATTAAGTCATACTAACATCAAAACTTCTATTTTATCAAAAATAGTATTCGTGCCAATTTTGTCAGTACATTAAAAAACGACAATGATGTATTCGTACTTTAAAAAAATAAGTTTAGTTAATCATCAAAATAAAATAGAGTTAATGATTTCTCTTTGCAGGATAACAAATATCAAAAAATCGAAAAAGGCATTAAATCTTTTTCTTCGGAAAATTTAAATGTCAAACAATTTTTGAACAAGCTGTCACGAGAAGCCATGCTACAGAAAAAAACACTGACATAAAAATAAATGTTGGTTTTTAAATTTTATTTAAACAGTTTTAATTATTTACAATCGATTACCTGAATGAGGAAATCAATTTTTACAATTTTTATCGATTTCTGAGTTAAAAAACAATTTTTCAAACATTTATTTTTATTTGTAATAAAAATTGTCTAATTAATACTGTAACAATGATATAGAAATCAACATTCAATTAAATATGTAGTCACGTCCAAACTTCTAAGTGAAGGGCGAAACCCGAAGATTTGTTCTATAAATAGATAAATATAATTTTTGTTCGTCGGAAACAAGCCGTCGGCCCAAAGGCCTTAATTGCTCTGACTTACAGTATATTTTTCTTATACATCGTTGACTCAGCATTGTGGCGTTAGGTTTCACCAAACGGCATGTATGGAATGGTGTTAATGTATTGTATGCCAAGCTGACCTTGACTTACTGTTTAAATTTCTATCTTGTTTAATGTAGCAGTAGCGTATTTTATTCATCCCAGTATCTCATTCTTGTAAAAGTCTTTGTCATACATTGTCTGCTTATTTTTTCATGGTATTTTATTTATTTATCAGCTAATATTATATTTTAATCGATTAAAATTTTAAATATTGAGATTTTTTAATTAAAAAAAAATTAATTTAATAAAAAACCTATCAATTTTTACGAATAACATAAATCATAAATTTTTAAGCTCACATTTACAGAATTGAATCAATTAATAGTTTTTCTTAACTAAACTTACTACCATGATCGTTAGTTAGCCACAGCTTGCGCGTACGCAGTCGCAAGATCTTACAAGGTTGACCACAACAATGATTCTTATCCTACACGAGAGCACTCGTGGCGATGATGATAAATAGGCTGCTGCTTTTAACGTTAGAACCTAAGTCAGCTGTCCTTTTTTTCTTGTTCTTGAATGGATGTTATAAGATGAGCGCTTTATAAGATTGTTTGAAAGTTGCACGCATAGTTGAACTTTTGTTATGGTAGCTTGTTTTAAAAGGAGTAAGTTATACGTCACGCGATTACAGAAACAGGTATACAGCTGGAAGTTTTAAGATCGTCAAGTGATTTTAGAACGAAACTTGGTGTTTCTAAGTAACAAATATTAACTACATGACATGGAATGTCACACGCCCCCCTCCCTCTTAACTGATTTGACAATTATAGGAGCGAAAACAGTTGAATCTACTCAAGAACTCAATTTCTTTTTTTTTTAATGTGTAGTAATAGTAATCAAATAAATTAAATCAAGAAATAGTACACAAAAACTATGTATTCTTGTAAACCAATACAATTTTTGGTACTATGGAATCTTATTCCTTGAGGTTTTGCTATTGCTAATCTTTCGTGCTGAATTCATTGAGATGATGTGCTACAGTAGTAAATGTAGAATAGTCTGCAAGTTGAAAGTGGCGACTTAATGGTCACGATTTTTGCTCAACTTGGTAGAAATGATGTTTGCAGTTAACTGTATCCTGGTTTATGTAATAAGGCGGCATAAAGTTGTTAGTCAATTCTTTATACTTTTTCTTTCATAAGGCATTACATAGTATGATGGTTGCGCCTGTAACTGGAGTAGACGATATGGTTGGTATACATTCATTATCTAGAGCAAATTGGCAACAGATAGGTCGCTGGGTGGGTTAATTATCTGTAATGTTAAGTTATTAGGGTTGCTGTTTACTCAGCTTCTCAATCGTAGTTTTGATTGGTAGTGTTGTGCTGTAAGCGAGGATGCTTTGCATTTTACGAAGTATCCTAATGGTGTTCATGTTTTATGTGACATTACTGCGGGATCCATAACGCTTCATCGAAATGAAGTGACAAGAAATATGCATTATTGCCAATACGATTTTATTATATTGTTGTTATTCCTGGATGAAAATGAGATTTAACTCTCTTAATTTCTTTTTAATACTCTATTAATTAATCTTTGTCACAATTTCACACTACACTAGTGCTAAGTAAGGGTGGTAAAAAATAAGTACCTGGAAATACATTTTCCCAATGTGAAATCTTCTGTTGATGGTCTCGCACTTACGTATGACTTGTTTTGTGCTAAGGTATATGTTTTATTAAATATAATAAAAGAACACAATTTTAGCGAGTTGTATACATAAGCTTATAAAAATTGTTTTCGAAACTTTATTTCATTATTATACAGGTTTTCATAAATATGTATTAAAAATTTAGATATATATTGGTAATAAATCTTTGACATTGCTTACATTTAATTATTGTAAAATGTTGTTAAACTTCAGAAATCAATTAACTGATATTTATTTATTGATATTTTAACTACTAAAATTATTTTCTTGCAAATTTGTTGTAAAAGTCAATATGGTTGATTCTCATTATTGATTTAACTTATAATTATTTATACGGAATAAATTTATGATAAACACAGATTTTTAATAATGATCACACGGTAAAAAGTTAATATAAGCTCATTGTGTTGTCATTACTGAAACGTAAAATCAAAAAATTTTACGGCTTTTAGAATAATGTAGTAAAAGTGCATAAGAAGCAGATAATTTTTTTTTGTTAGCACACTAAAATTAAGAGAAGTCTCATCAGGAAAGCATTATTCGGAACAGCTCTTTACTTTATCTAAATGTTTAGTAATTG